GATGAATACGAATATATAAAAAACTGCATGAAAGACGTAGCGCTAGAAGCCTTAGGGTCACAGGTACGGAGAGTAGATAAACTATATTGGTGGGATAAAGAAGTGGAAGAAAAGATAAAAAGAAAGAAGGAAGTATATCAAAAGTTGTTACAACAGGGAGACGAAAACAAACAAAACAACAATATACAAACTTGAATAAAGAAGTCAAACGAGAAGTGGTTAAACAGAAAAATAGTGCATGGGAACAAAAATGTCAACACCTAGACAACCGTATAGGAGGGACAAAAAGCTCTGAAGCCTGGAGAACTATAAAAATGGTGAGAACAACGACAAAAAACCAAGTCATATACCAGAGAACACATGGGTAGAGCATTTTGAGAACTTATTAACAAAGAGAAGAGAAAGGTTTAAACAGACAAATGAACAAGTGGAAGTAGAAGGAAGAATAGAAATATCAATTAAACAAGTGAAAGAAGCAGTTAAGGGAATGAAATTAAGAAAATCTCCAGAATACATCCAGAGTTGATTAGGTATGGATCATCAAAACTGTTTGAAATGATCCGAAAATTATTCGAAAGATGCTTGAACAGAGAAGAAGTTCCAGAAGAATAGAGACAATCGTATATCTCTTCAATACACAAGAAAGGCACAAAGACGGATCCTAAAAACTATAGAGGGGTCGCAGTAGAAGATTGCTACTATAGACATACTATACTCAAAAGTACTACGAAACCTGATAGAAAATGATATTAAAGACAAACAACCCGAAGAACAAGCGTGATTTAGGGCCGGACGCTCCACTATGGATAGTACTTTCACGTTAAAAATTGCAATGGAAAAACGAGTGCAGGGAAATAGAGAAACCCATATAGCTTTAATAGATTTGAAAAAAGCATATGACAGTGTACCGATCTTCCAACTATGGATAGAAATGTGTAACTTGAAAATAAACCCAATTCTTATTAACGCCACTCAAAAATACTACGAACAAAACTTTGCAAGAATTAAAATGGGACAAGAAATCACCTCTCCTTTTCAAACAACAAAGGGACTAAGACAAGTCTGCTGTCTGTCACCCACCTTATTTAAAATCTGGACAGATCCTTAGTGAAATGGGTAAAAAAATGTAGAAAGATGGGAATAACGTTAGAAGAAAACACGTTATATACACTTTTCTTTGCAGATGACCAGGTAGTAATTGCCGAAGACAGCCACGATCTTAGCTATATGGTAAGAAAACTGCAAGAAGAATAGAATAGACAGTTTAAACTATCCCAGGGATCGTAAACCACAAATATTGGGGGGAAAACTGTATATCAAGTTGCGTTAAGGCCTTACGTGGTAAAACCCTAATAAAATCAATAAAAATTATAAGTATATTTCACTAAAAAGTCTACTGATTAGATTGAATGAGTTCTTTCTTGACAAATTCGAGGTGAGATGAAATTAAAGCCGACAAAATCATCTTCACATGATATAAGACAATGTAACTTCTAATACTGATCTTGAAATTTTAAAATAATATAATACTTCTTTCTAATTCTGAATTAAAAATAATGAAAACACGGAAAACCTCATATTTGGGACACATATACAGAAATGAGAAATACCAGCTACTGCAGCTTCTTATAGAGGGGAAGGTAGAAGAAAAACGTGGTCCTGGTAGACGGCAGGCGTCGTGGTTGAAGAACATTGGTGAGTGGACTGGTTTGGATTCTCAATCTTTAATAAGAAAAGCCAGGGACAGAAATGATTTTTCTGAGGTTATCGCCAACCTTCATTGAAGACGGCACCCAAAGAAGAAGAATTCTGAATTACAGCAAATATCAATCATGATGAAGTTTCCTTGTGCAGATTTTAAAAAGATCCGTTTTAACGGCTTCGGTTGATTAAAATGTGGAAATGAAATAGTGGTGGACGCAAGTGTGTTTGAGTAGCAGATAATTGTTGATGATTGTTTCAACGTTTACTGTATATTCATTATTAGATATTGAACATGGTAAGATTATTCTAATCTTTTTTTTATTAGAATTAAATAGCTCACACCTATACCAATATTATAACGTTAAACTTCATATTCAAGTTGCTCTTATTCTGGGTGAATTACTTTTTCCAAATTTTGTTTAGAATAAATTTTGAACTAGTATAGATAGACTCTACACAGGGCCCATTAACGACAGGTGATTCCAACTTCATTGTTGTATTTAAATTAGGATTCGTTCGATAACAATTCTTTTCATTTTCTTCTATGTCTTATAGCTTCTATCTTTCTATGTATAAATATCAATTTTCTGTATCTAACCCTCCATTCCATATAATAACACAGAAAATTCATAACACTTTAGTATTCGTACTTTAAGTTTCAGGCTCAGATCATTGCTGCAAAGTACTTGTCTCACATTTATTGAATGTTGATCGGGCTCTTCCTATACGTGATTTGATCTCCTGTGTATAATCGTTGCGTTTGGTTACGATCGTTCCCAAGTATGTATATCTGTCCTTGTGAACGAGTTCGTCTCTAATCCATAACGTCTTTTGTTGTTGTGTCTTTGCAATGGTCATGAATTTCTTTTTTTTTACATTTAAAGTGTCCATCATTAAAACCTGCAATTCTTCAACCGACTTTGCGATTACTAACTTATCATCGGCGTATCTGATGTTATTTATAAGTTCTTCGTTGACTTTGATGTTTCCTTTAGTGTTTTTTGAACTATCTCTTCTGAATATACGTTAAAGAGCAGCGGAGAAAGTATGCACCCTTGCTTTGCCTCTTGTTGTATTTCTATTTATTCTGATAGTTTGTTGCCAACATTTATAGATGCAACTTGATTAAAGTAAAGGTTTGATATTATTCTCATATCTTTAATATCCAGGTTTTTATCTTTAGCTGTAGGAGGCGATTATGTAGGACTTAATATATAAAATATACTACCCTACAAAATATCCTCTTGTACCGACCCATATTTCTTAAACTTTTCACTCGAAATGCATTATATATTATTCAAGAAATAGGATATAAAAGATTGGAGTGAAGGACTGATAATTATTAAGTAATAATGTGTGTGTCATGAAAATACTTATTCAAGGAAAGGTAGTAGGATCACGAGGAAGATCCCCTACAAGATGGATCGGCCAAATTACAGGAATATGCAAAAGTCCTATGAATGAGTTAAAAGAAATGACCAGAGACAGAGATCTGTGAAGGCAGACCATACACGAAATCACGATGACTACTACACTGCCTCGGTGGGGTCAGTACTGAAGAAAGAGAGTGTGTGTATTTAGCCTCCTACTAAGGGTGTCTGTATTGATCATACCAACACCCTAAAGGAGCGATCTCACAGAACGTGGAGTGGCGTTCTTCAAAATATAAAGACGGTAACCAATACAACGTGGAAAACCGTATTTCTTCTCAATATTTGTGGTTCACGATCCCGGTTAGGAGAGGTACGGTCAGTGTCGTGGTAATTTTACTATGGAGTGATCTAACGAAGTTGTGTTGGAATTTTTATTATTGTATAAATTACCCAAATTATTAAAATTTTTACAGCCAACACTGATGGCGTACAACAGACTTAACCCTTAATACTCACCATGGGAATGGTTCGACTACATTTTAGGGTAGGTGGAGTGCATTTATCAAAAAGCAAATATTTACTAATTTCACCGTAACGTGGGATGCCAAATGTTGTCTCTTTGCTGATCGTTAATATCGATTTTCTGTTTTTCGTTGCCGACGTAAACCAGTGAAAAGCGCTATTTTTCGAGCTATCTAATTACGGCTTGACCATATTCGCTATCCGATATTTGACCATCTTTTTAAAATAACATTTATTTGAACTTTATTGACTAAAAAATCTTAAAATATTAACCGAAATGTAATGTGGGCTATAATAAATCAATACGAAGTACAAGATAAATACTTAACAAGGATGATAAGACAGAATAATACTCAGAAGGATCTTCGTACCCTATCACTACCCGAATATTAACCAATGCTAAGGTCAACCAGATATATAAAGCTAGCGACGTCAAATAAATTAAATCTCAACGTCTAAGATCCGTGCCATGTTCATAGGTTCCCTAATAACCGCCTTGCAAAGCCCCAATTAATAGTAGGTCCTTAGGACGTCCACAAGTGCAGTGGAGAGATAACATGGTCAGATTTAAGAACAATGGGGCTACTAATTGACTCAACTATCAGGACGACTATTTGAGATGGAAGCAAGTTGTGCAGTGAGCCAAGATCCACCCCGGGTTGTAGTGCTACGAAAAGAATAATAATAATGATGATACCATTAGATATTCTACGACGAGGGGACAGCAAAAGTTAAATATGAAGGGAACGATCACAACAAATAAATATTAAAAAAGGAGTGAGACAAGGCTTTGTGTTGTTACAAATACTGTTTATGGTAGTCATGGATTGGATAATGAAACGTACAGATAGAAAGGGAGACATCAGTGAATTTTATTCAACAAGATACACAATTTTTTAGCGTTTACTAATTATATGTACCTTATCACTTTAACCAAGCAGAAGCAGAAGCAATATATAGAAAGAGCAAAAACAAATTGAAGAATTAGAATAGGTCTGATAGCTCAGAATTTTGGTAAATAAAATCGGTCGTACACAGAGTGAAACGTAAAGTTAAAGTAGAATAGATCTTGTGCAAAATGTTTTAATTCGCTGTGAAAAGTCTTCCTCTAATAACATTAGTAAAAAAAGAACACTGCGTCTCTTACCAATCATCGTGAAAATAAGTTTTAGTCGATAAAGCAGAAACATGGAATTAGCATAAAAAACTAGTTCTCAGATTACAATATTTCATAAACAAATGTTAACACTTTTATATATACAGAATATTCTGGCTAAATAAAATCACAAATAAGAAACCATGAAGGTTGATACACTCGCGCCACCATTAAGTTTTTTAACTGAAGCTCCACTTGGATGGATATACCATATTTAATATAAGCTTTCTAATGCAATACTTTAATCACCCTACAGCAGTAATCATACCACTAATATTTAGTGGTAGGTAAAAACTTAGTTCACTTACATAGTAATCAGCGTGTCCTCCATCATCATGACCACCTTCGTATCCTCCGTGTAACTCGAGTCCACCACCATATCCACCGCCATAACTCTCCTCATACCCACCACCCAAAAATCCTGCTTTTGAGAAGGCGAGGCAAGACAAGGCGAAAAATAACTGAAATAACAAATAAAATAATAATTATTCGTAGCGTTTTGTAATAAAACGACACTTTTTTCTTTAAAAGTCTCCAAAATAAACAGTTATTTAAATCTAAGAAATGGTTCCCAACCTTTATAATTTTAACCGCATCACTAAGACTAGAACTACCAAAATCAGTTTCTAGTAGGTAAAGGTTATCCAAACACCGGGTTTTGTGAATTTTATATACACTGGCAGGCAAAAAATTTAGGTCAAATTTAAATTTTGTGCTATTAGGTAGTAATTTGTTTACGGTTGTATCGTTTTCTTAGTAGGCGCTTTCCGAGAAATAATTTCCATTTACTTTAGTGGAACCTTTACAGTTAATTGCCAATTTTTCAATTATTATATTTTTGTGTAAAACTTATCAGTTGTACAGTGTATTATTGATGGTGTATATCTAATGAATCATAATGCCTTTAGATTATGTTACTGTGGCAAGAATTATTGGAAGGAGTATATGTGCAGTTCAAAATGTGTACCAGCGCTATGAGGAGATTGGTTTAATAACCAGGACATGATCCAGGCGAAATCGAATCACCACCCAAAGAGATGATCGGTTTTTGGTGTCCGCAAGTTTGCGGAATGAAAGAGCCTCTGCGGTTTTCTTACGAAATAAACTTCAAGATGTGAGAAATGTTAGTGTTAGTGAATGGACCGTTAAAGAAGGTTTCGAGCTGCTGGATTATCTTGCAGAAAGATGGCTACAGGTCCACCTTATAACGCCGATATCGGGTAGCTAGATTAAATTTTGTCCAGACTTTACTCCATGGGAATAATATAAATTGGAGCAACGTACCGTTTTCATATGAATCGCTTTTTTGTGTCAATGGGTTAGACGGACGTCGTCGTATATGGAGAAGACCCGGAAAAAGATAAGCTGCGGCTTGTATTGATGATCGACTTGAGTGGTTATGATCTGGGCCGGAATTACTTGGCAAGCACGCACAGAGTTAGTCTTAGCAAGAACTGACTAAGAGCTGCAAGAGTTGTTATTGCAATAAAAGGATAACATCGACCAGAATGTGATCCGTGCTTTAATTGAAAGTATGCCTCATCGGCTACAAGCTGTCATTAATTTAAGATGAGGAAATATTCATTATTTTTTTATCAGTTTCTTAATAAATCACTCTTTTTTAACTGTAAACTTGGTAGTTCTCCTAAATAAAGCTCAAAAACCAAAATATTGCTATTAATTCAATATTGATTATTAAAGTTAGTTCCAGTACCAATGGCTTACGACCGCAAATGTCTCCGTGGCATCACAATCTCAATGTGACCTAAATTTTTTGCCCGCCAGTATATTTTGGAAAATTTTCTCTTGTTATTATCAATATAAAATTTCATTAGCAGAAATATTTGAAAGTGTTTGTTAGGAAAGTGCTCTCAAATACGATGCCGTTAGTCGAAAGATTCGCGCCCTATTTACAGTATTTACTGTTAAATTAATATTAATGGTCACAAGCAAGGAACAACTTTGACTGATTATATCTGTGAATCTGTGCAACCAATTGATTAAATTTAACTTTCTTGTGCTAATTAAGTTTCTTTCCGAGAACGTTCATTCGGTAAATATATATATATATATATATATATATATATATATATATATATATATATATATATATATATATATTCGTAGAGATACTCAATTTGTTGCTAAGATAAAACAATAACAAAATTTAATAAACTTTATAACTTTGTAACTGATTTTAAAGTTTAAGTACTATTTTAAAACAATTATCAACTTATTTGGGGACGCTTTTCCTGATCTTGGATAATTAAAATAAAATCAAATTTTCATCAAGCGCTGGATCAACAGATTATTGTAAAACAAAACTATGATAGCGATTGGCTACAAAGTAAGTTTAAAAAATTAAGGAAAAAGGCAAGTACTTTGCAATTTTTTGTTAATTATTATTAGTTTTTAACTTCTTATGTAAAATGTAATTCGATAACTTTTTTAAATTTCCTTTCACGATTAATAGCTTTCAATTCTTCATAACTACCAATGGCCTGCTTAAAATTAAATTATCAACTGCATTTTGAGGCAATTGGGACCGTGCAAGTTCGGAACAGCGACACCTGGTGTCGTAAATCAACAAAATTTACTGCGCTTTCATGTTAGATCGAGGTTACCGGATAACTGTCAAGGACGTAGCTCCAAAAAAGAATAAGAAGAAAAAGTAAGATTGAGGTTATGTCGGTATGTTATTAAAAGGTAAACGTTCTATGTAGTGTAAAGACAAATAAATATATTATTAAATTACAGCATTACTGTTAATATGGATGCAATAATAAAAACTGGATTTGAGAACGTAAATCACCAAATAACTTTTCAACCAAGCACTGAATCAGAGGAAAAAGCTTTAGTAGTGGCAAATGTCAAAAAAGAATGGAAGAATTATGTGGAAGAATTAAGAAAAATAAATTACCATTAATAATGCTAATGCATAAATTAGCAGCTTAAGCCCATGATATCATCATATTGGTTTGAACAATTAATTCTTTCCCTGTAAACTTTTGGACAGCGAATATATCATGCATCTTCAGAAAAACTTAAACTTGATGCATTTTGTAAACTTAAAAAAATAAAATTTAGACATTAAACTTGATTTTTGGGTTAAAATGAACTTTAAGTGAGTGTTATGAAACTTAAATTTACACTTAAAAGTGAACTTTTATTTATTAATTTCAAACTGACTTTAAAATAGGGTGCAAGAATAATGCATAATTTAGGTTATGTTACTTATGCTTTTTTATGATATAAATCCACTTTTCTCTTTGTAGTAATTTGTGCTTCGAAGTTGGAAACAAATAAAACTTAAATTGACAATTTTTTGTTGTATTTTTACAATTTATAACACAGCATTTCCTAAATCCCATTTTCTTCAGTGACAGAAGGTGTAAATAAACAAACGAATATGGAATATGACAATTGACAATAGGAATTTATGAAATCTATGAAATGTACAGTAAAAAATGCAAGATTTCTCCGCTACTCGCGCACGATCGTTTCTCGTATCACATCCAAGTACTTGCACGTCGCCAATAGGATCCGTTCCTGTTTAAGATCTTAAAGACGTTGTAGTATAAATATTTTGTAGATGGAAAGCAATCTGTCTCTGAAGCATATTTTATACAAGCTGGATGGGATTGAGATTCGACGATTGTCCTGGCTACGGTTAAAGTATAATATCCTCATTATAAAACCAATCTCTTACTGATAAACTGCGTTAGGCTTCTCTTACTGTTGTGTAGTATTTTGGATTGGATTATCCTGCATGTAACGCAAATCAGCACTGACAAATGGATGGACAACAGGTTCTAAGATACGATCAATATATTGAGATTGATTCAAAGTGCCTTAATAACGGGAACAGTTCAATGAGGAAAAATTATGCCAGTTCACAGCATAATTTCTAGACCACTATATGGACGAACACCCTGTGAGTAGTATAGAAGTCATCTGTGAGTGACACAGAACGCCATTCTTGTAAGCCCTACTGCACATGTTATTGTGCCTACCTGAGTCCACGATTTCCATGACGTAACATGGCAACCCTTAATGGACGTCTGGCGTACAGACCAGTTTCATGTAATCTATTCCTTGAAGTTTGGTCACATAGAGTAATGTTGTGGGTATTTTCGAAGGCCCCATGGAGTTCACTTGCAGGTATATGCACAGTTCGACGAGTTTATTCTACTACATACCGATCCAGTAGTAGTTTCCCTTACGTCTACGAAAAATTTTGAAATTTTAAAGCACTATTTTTTTAAAATTTGAAGCAATTAATCGTACGAGTTTGAGGCGCTGTCACTTTTACCTTATAGTCCAGTCGTCAGAGATTTGACCTCTAAAAATCATACGAACAAGCTGAATTTTTGCCGAGAATATCAATTTTAGAACCTCAAAAAAGATGCAAAAAGTTTACTACTTTAACCCCCAGAATTCACCCTAAAACCTCCCTCGTAGGGGGGTAAAAACGCAAAAAAATCGATTTACCAAGAATCTGTACACCGTAGAAAAAAATGTAGCTGAGATCATTTTGAACAAAAATGATTATTAGCACTTTTGCGTAGAATGAACCGTTCTCTCAGAAACAACGCTTGAAGCGCCCGGCTATTTTGAAGGTCAATTCCTCTCGCGAGATCAATGTTAAATGAAATTTGTATCAACTTGACGATCAAAAATCGATATCTTTTGGTCAGAGTGTCCTATCGATAAAAATCAAAATACGTTTTAAAGGTGAAGAATGCCACAAATGAAGCCAGTTTCTATAAATAATTTTTTCGTGATTTTTTCGCCTTTTTAACGATTCTCTTGAAAGCAATAAAATTTATTTTAAAACTGGTCTCCAAATTTTGGAGACCAGTTTGTATTTTTTAAATTCGTGTAAAATGCCAACATTTTAAATATAAAAAAATAACTTCCTAAATGAGTGATGGATTCGACCGTTACTTGATGGAAATTCATTTTATTTAACAATAAAACACTGAAAACACTATTTTCACTGTTTTATTGTTAGATTAACTTCCTATAAATTGATGCGTCTGAAATATTTTAAATGTTTATATTTGGTGCTTTCAAAATTTATGTTGACCTAATAGTTTTCGCATAATAACGTTGTAGATGAAAGTTTTCTGGGATAAACAATTACAATTTTGCAATAACTGTTGAGTGAAACTTCTTAAAATTACTTAATTAATATTAATATTTGTGATATTGACCTCGTCCTTAAGGCGAAATTAAAGTTTTTTGTGTCGTTTTAGAAAAACTATTAATAATTTTCAAAAAATCTACTTTTGAAGCTATTTTTGCAATAATTAAGCCAGAAATTAGCTCAATAGAGTAACTTTTCAAACTCTCATTTTAAAAATTTTTTTATGCTTTTTCCGTAAAATTGTGTCACTTTTCCATAGTTATAATTTAGCAGTGTCCACCTTTAGTATTTAAAATTTAATAGCGATCTTACCTTGTTTATAAGTAAAAAATGACGCTTATCTTTTGTATATTGTGTTTATTACATATTGTTATCACCAAATTTATCAAAGCAGTTTTCAGATACCTGTATCAAAGAGTGTCATGAAAATTGCTTTTTCTTTACTAATTTTTAGGAGCTAACAGTACAGCTGATAAGTCATATACTTTGTAGCCTATTGCTCGCCTCCTTCCACGTCACATGGATGTGAAATAAGCTTACATACCTTAGTGATACTTTAAGTTGATAATTAGCACTGATGATGACTCGACTAAAATGTAATAAATCCTTAAACATTTCAAAAATACAATCTTATTTTCACCCTCTATGACATCATAAGATAGTTAAGCTACCTATTTTATATTTAAAAAAATATTAAAATAAATGAAGGTGTGAATTTATTTATACAAGAAAAGAATATGTAAATTAAGAGGGAGATACCAGAAAATGTAGAAAAAATATCTTCTGATACTTCAAAACAACTTAACCTTAAACAAACATACAAATCAATAATTATGAAATTTGGAAAAAGTTCAAAAACAACTGGGAACCCCAACGGTGTAGACAACATATTTCTCAGCAAAAATGATCAAAAATTCAAACACGTTGAGAGCTAAATACTATCAGTTTTAGGAAGTGCTATACAAGCGCGTTTCTACCATTTAACAAGCGATAAGACACTTTTTTAATTTGAAGTAAATGCTAAATCTTTTCAGCTCACTCTTATTCACAAAATGCACGTTTTAATCCAAATTTTGTCACTGTAAAAAACAAAAACAACTCACTTGGCTAGTGGTGAACATTTTGCTTGTTTTATTTTTGTTTACACACGAAACAACGAAACTGATGGAATAAGGAAGCGGGCCGTATGTTTTTATAGCATACGATGGTTGTTGTCGAAAAGAGGGGTATATCCCCCTGTATATTTAGTCTTCCTACATGCTTTCTCTAATTTGCGGTGTGAATATACGAAACAATGATTATTTGTTTCGCATCATTTTAGCAACAACGTATTAATCAGCCTATGATTCAAGATGTTCGGGTCTGTTGATTTGTTACAGTCTTCATTAGTGGACTTAAAACTTTTTAAATGTTTAATAAATATTGTTACCACTTTGACATACTTGTGTGTAACGTAAGTGTGTTAAAATGAGTTAATAGTTAAAGTAAATACTAAGAAAATATGTATAATATTATGTTACATTTTGAGATCAGGTTTGTTCTGAAATTTCTACCTACTCTGTCTGAACTAGTTACCATGAGTTAACTACAAATCTACTTACTCATATTTTTATTAGTTCATAGAAATGTTACATTTGTTATGCGTTATCGTGCATTTTTCAGAAAATCCAACTTTTTCCCTCGGCCGCCATCTTGGAAAAAGGGGTGCAAAAAGTTATCGCGCTGTATCTCAGAAACCTTACAGAAAATTTTATAAGACATTATTTGTAGAAGATTAAATGGCTTAAAACTTTATTATTATTGTTATTTGTACAACTTTTTTTCGTAAAATGGAAAATAAATTACTATTTAAATGATAATTACGCCACAATTAAAAGTTAAAGTAAGTTTATTGACGTTTCAATTTCCACTTCGGAAACGGAAAGAAATCGTTCTCAAAATACAAAGTTTGTATTTTGAGAACGATTTCCGAAGTGGAAATTAAAACGTCAATAAACTTACTTTAACCTTTAATTGTGGCTTATTCTCATTTAAATAGTAATTTCTTTAAAATGCCACAATAAAATAGCTTCAGAACAATATATGGAAAATAAAAAATATAAAAATATCTAATTTTTGAACAAACTTTTATAGGGCCTTGATAACTTTTTTCTGGTCATTTTACAATAAAATGACATCAAATGGCAACATTATAATGGGTTTTTCAATAAATAATTTTCACTACAAATTTGTTTAATTCAGCTATCCGAAGTTGACCGGGTTCTTGAATACTCGTAAGAATACAATAAAGACAGTCCTTAGTTTTCTATTATATATTTTTTATACATATAACTTATTATTTTCTTATATTTCTATATTAAAAATTTATTTTCTTTTCTTTACTGACTATGGGCTATACTGAAAGTTATCCCCTTCACTTTCCTATGTCGATCTTTCGAAAGTACCTTCGTTTCGAAGGACTGTAAATTTCGAAAAATTGGATGAATTTTATAGCTATAAGTTTCAATATAAAGTTTATATTTTCATTCAAAATTTGTGCAAATTTTACTTCTTAATGTTTATAAACAGTGGAGATATGATTTTTTTTAAAATAGTCCCAACTTCGTTCCTATTGGTCATAGGTTTTATTTTTTAAATGTGAGTTTTTTTACCAGCTATCCAATGCTTGTACGTACAAGTCTGTAGCTTAAAAAATATAGAAGTTATTACAATTGTTTATACTTAAGTAAAAAACATACCTCTTTTTCAAACGTTTATTTTGTAAATAATTTCGATGAAAACGCAATATGCACTTAACTTCTGAGATAGTTTAAGTCTTAAACAATCCTATGAAATTTGTTAAATGTGTCTAGCATCATTAATAGGGCAAGCTCAATATTTTAAATATTTACCCTCGGGGATAAATAAATGAAATAACTTTTAAACCATTTAACCGACCTGGAGTAAATTTCGCACAAATTTAAAAAGACGGTAATTTCTCGATGTTCAAATGTATTAATAACATTTTATTTTGTTAATAAAAAAATTAATAAAACGTATAAATTAGTGCGAAAAAACTGCATTTTTGCAAATATCTCCGTAAATTTTTTATCAATTTTAATTTAAACGGGAAAGTAAAGATATTCTTGATATAAAAAAATTATATAAATATTGTTTATGTAAAATATAGGGAAAAAACTTATAGACAAAAATCAAATTGTGACCATGACTTATTGTTTTAAAAAAACGTAAGGTACGCATTTCATTTCATAAATGGCTAAAACGAATACTGGGAGAGAATGTGCAGACATAGACAACACGATAGGGTATAACAGATCAACGGAAGCATGGAAAAAAATAAAAACATCAGAAGTAATAAACGAAGTAAAAATACCATACAGATAATTATATCAAAAGAGTGGACAAAGCATTACACAAAATTATTGCAGGAGAATAGGCCGGAGTATATCTCATACGACCCTGTGACAATAATAACTGAGGAAGCAGAAATCACAGAGGAAGATATAAATAAAGCACTAAAGAAATCCAAAAACAATAAAGCACCAGGTTCAGGGAACATAAAAATGGAACTGCTGAAATATGGAGGCGCAATGATAGTATCCTTTATAAGAACGTTGTTCAATAAAATCGAAGCAGGAGAGAAGATTCCCGAGGAGTGGAATTTATCATACATGTCCTCCATTTTCAAAAAAGGTGGCAAAAGGTCACTAAATAACTACAGAGGGATCAGTGTAATGCCTTCAATAGCAAGAATCTTTTCATCAGTTATAAAAGAAAAACTAGAACAACACATGGACCATTTTAGCGAAGAACAAGCCGGATTCCGAAAAGCCAGATCATGTTTAGATAATATATTCATTATGAGACAGGTGATTGAAAAGAACAGAGAAAAAAACATTGAAACACATATGACCTTTATCGACTTAGAGAAAGCATACGATAGCGTGCCCAGGAAACAACTATGGGAAGCAATGAGAAGAATGCGCGTTAGAGAGAAATGGGCGAACACAAAGACTGTAGAAAGAAACACAAGTGCAAATAAAGTTAGGTAATGAAATAACAAAACAATCACCGCAACAAAAGGCCTCAAACAGGGATGTGGTCTCTCACCTACACTTTTTAACATATATATATATATATATATATATATATTATATATATATATATGTATATATATATATAGATTGGGCTTTGAAAAGATGGTATAGAAAATGCGGAAAAATGGACATACCAGTACAAGAGAATATATTACATTCACTACTTTTCGCAGATGATCAAATCATTTTTACACTAGACAGCGAGTATATGAAATATATGATAAGGAAATTAAAGGAAGAATATGAACTTTGGGGACTCAAGATAAATATGTGCAAGACCGAATACTTATGTATTGGACCCGAGGTTGCAGATTTGAACTTAAGTTTAGAAGAAGAGACTATTAAGAGTTGTAAGACTTTAAGTTTTTAGGGTCAATGATTAGCCGAGATGGTACTTGTATGAAAGATATAGAAATGAAAATAGCACGGGGAAAACAAGCCATAAGAGCACTCCATGGAATGATATGGAACAACACTCTACCCAAAGAAAACAAAAAGAGGATCTTTCAAAGAATAGTGATGAATATGACAATATATGGAGCGGAAGTATGGCCAATGACAACAACAATACGAAATGAAATAAGAACAGTTGAACTGGACTTTATGGGAAGATGTCTACAAATCACAAGAGCGGATAGAATAAGAACAGAGGAAATATGGAACATAATGGAAGTAGAATGCTCAATTACAAAAAAGTTGGAAAACAGAGTCCTGCAGTGGTACGTGGATGTACAAAGAATGCCAGAGCATAGGTGGCCGAAAAGAATATTAAACTGAGACCCGCCGGGAAGAAGACGGAGAGGAAGACCTGCTACAAGATGGAAAATATACGTCGGAAATGCTATGATAGATAGAGACCTCAGAGAAGGTGACTGGGAGAATAGAGTGCTGTGGAGGACGAAAACGGCGAACGCATAATGGGAAAAGCCGAAGAAGAAGAAGAAAAACGTAAGGTAAAAATACGAGTACTTTTTCATCTATTCATCTATGTAGTAACCCCCACCTATGTCTTAAAAGCTTCAGATATCTGCCAAAGATTTTGCCGTGAAATCGATGATTTTTCCATAACCAGTCTGGCTACTACGTTTGAAGTCTATTCTATAACTACAGTCATTATTGAAGGACTATTGTATTCTATGTCTAACTGTGCATAGTCCGGGATATAATGCCTGTCGTTGCTGACTCTAGCTATCAGCCCATCCATGACCAGATTCGATAAGAGAGGAGATAAAACTGTTCCTTGCGAACAGCCTCTTGCTACTTGTACTGAGACAGTCTTTTTGGCAGGATTTATTTGCCATACTGTTGTAGGTGATTATAGTTTTAACAATAAACGATGAGCACGATGCATAGATGCAGTATAGACTGCTTATACAGAGTGGCGTAAAAGTCTGGAAACGACCAATTATCTCGTAAATTTCTAGTGATAATTGTACAAAATTTGGGGTACACTTATTTTGGGATACGGAGATTTCATATTTGATATTTGCAATGTTGCCAAATTTGCCGTTTCTCGTATATTATTAGTAACTTTGTTTTTTCAAATTCATCACCCTATATATTAAGTCATTATTGGAATCTCCTATTCAATTCGAGTTCAACCATATGTAACACTTATGATTTTATGTAGTCTGAAAGGTCTTAAATACATAAAACAGTGCAAAATATGTAGATTTTAATAAATTTAAATATTTAAATGTAGAATGCTCTGATTTTGACATTTGTTCGCCATTTGCATTATTAACTAAAACCGACAGTAGTTGTGTTTCGAAAAGTTCTATAAGATAAATGCTTCTCTAAAATGGCTCTTAACGAAAAAGAACGAATTACTATTCTAATGATGAGAGGGTACGCTGACAGAAAAATATTTTATTGTGAAGTAGCCAACTTGTTCAATGATACTTTCCCAAATCGTTCACGTATTCATAAGGCGATGGTACAAAAAATTCTATAGCGATTTGAGGAATCTGAAGAAGTAAAAGATACCGATCATGTAGCCGGAAAGAGTTATGAATGACAAAAAA